CGCAGCCAGACTCAGCGGCAAGTCGTCGCTCTGTTCGCGCCAGATCTGCAGCGGCGCTGGCGGCGTGCTGTTTTCGACCAGTTGGATCACCTGCTCGTAGGTTTGCTGCAATGCCGCAGCCCAGCTGCTGCGTATAATCTCACGCACACGCGCATTAATAAGCGGCATGTATTTGATCCTGTAGAAGTCTAGTTGAGCCTGCGGCAGCTTCAGCTGCTGCTCGAGCTCGGCATAGCTGCGCTTAGCCGTCGCGCCTGCTGCCAGCTTGATGTCCTGTATGGTCTGCATGTTGCCGACTAGCGCGAAGATTTGCTGCAGCTGCTTGGCTGCCAGACTGTCTATTTGCGACATCCACTGACGTAGTGCATCGCTCAGCTGCTGCGGCGCCAATTTTGGAGTCTCGAACTGCGGCTTATATCCAGATACAATGTCGGGCAGCAGATGCGCCAGCTGTCTCTCGCTACTGTCCATGCGGTTGATGCTGGGCGGCGAGGTGGGCGCGACGCACTCCGCCAGGCGCACAAAGAGCAGGCCATTGGCTAAAAAGAGATAAATGTGTCATTAATTATGCTTCTAATTTAACAAGCTTGATGCTTAAATCTATAATATACTTTTACAAAGATCTATGAAAATGATTTAAAGAAAAATCGAATGAAAACCCAAAAATAACACGCAGAAGATTAAATACCCTTGTAGAAATATGGTATAATTTTTTCAGATATATAAGGAGAGTAGTGAAGCTAGTAATCGCTTAATCATTCAATTAGTCAATCAATCTAACTGTCAGGCAATTTATCGACTCAGGGCGGGCTAAATACATCTAGTTCTACGGTTTGGACTGTGCGTCTGTCAACCATTCAGTCAGTCCATCAATCAATCAGTCAGTCAAGACACATACATCTAGCTTTCACCGCTCACCTAGCAGACAGGTGTCAAGGAGCTCAATGGTGCCGTTCAGTATATGCAAACTAGCTAGTATGCGCTCCTTGACACGCCTTGGCTTATCCTTGTCCGTATCGCTGCTTTGGCTCTGCAGGCAGTTTACGTAGGCCGATGCGCGCAGCTGCAGGAAGGTTCGCAGCACCTGACCCAAATCGCATTTGTCCAGCAGCAGCAGGCTCAGCATGCAGTCGACGGCCATCTCGGCGCTGAGCTGTTCCCGTTCCAGCACTGCGAGCACCGACTGCTTGATGGTCACATGAAACGGACGCAGGATTTCCCATTGCTTCAGGGCGACGGGAAGCCGTTGCATTAGCGCATTCTTCGCATCCAGCTGGAGCCCGGTGCTGATGTGCCGACTGAATATGAAGAGCTCGGTGGCCGCATAAAACTGTTCCCGATCAATGTGCGTCCAGATGAGCTCCGGCAGGCTGCTTAGCAGCTTGATCTGCACCATGGTGCTGTAATAGTTGCTCAGCTGTTTGTTGACGGTCCGCTGCTGCAGCAGCACCTCGGCAGCTGTGGGCGTGGTCTGAAAGCCCAGCAGCTGCTGTTCGTTCAGGCTGCGACAGTTGCCCTGGACGCAGTGCACCTGCTCGATGAGCGTGCTGGCCGATGTTTGCATTGCTGCTATGGTGTCGGCGGCCTTAAGCAAATCCCGATAGCGTTCGCTGGGATTAAACCGCAATTATTTATGTTGCGCTGGCTGCCCAAACATGCCACATCACGATATGGGCCCACGACTTACCCGACCATCGTGCGCAGCTCTTCGCGCTTGTTTTCCACCACCGTTTGGATTTTCTTCTGCACAGCATCGATCTCGGACACGCCGTGCTGCTCGAACAGCGTGTCCACATCTAATTGCAGTAAATCGGCGCTCATTTATTTTTATTATGCACAAATTATAAAATTCTTTTCGGCTTTTCAATTCGATAACTTCGATAACAACTATTGTGCAAGTCAGCAAGTGAGGTGGTCGGTCGATAGGCTGCCTGAAACAATACTATCGCTGCAGACAGCTGTTTGACTCACGATTATTTGTGGCGGTCGCGCGGTTTTGTTAGTTATCGCCCGCCATTTTTAAAAGCTGATCGCACTTAATGCACAATTTTCTTGTTTACTATTATTTATGTATTTTAAAAAAATGTGAACTGCTTGCAATATGAATTGGCAATGCCAATACACTGTATTTTGGAGAAGCCTTCGTGGATTTCGTTTATGTCTGCCGTTTGACGATGGCAGTTATATTATTAATCGATTATATTAATTATCGCCCGCCAACTTTAAATGCAGACGGCGATTAGAACTCGACTTACTTGTTTATTTTAACTAATTGTAAATGCTTTGCATTACACAATTGGCAATCACAATGCGCTGTATTTCGGAGGTGCCCTCGTAAATTTCCGTGACGCGGGCATTTCTGTAATAAAGTTCGGCGGGCAGATCTGTTGTATAGCCCATGCCGCCCAGGATTTGGATACACTGATGCGCACAGTAGGTGGCCGTTTCGGAAGCATGCAGCTTGGCCATGGCCGCCTCCTTGGTGATGGGCAGTCCATTGTCCTTGAGCCAAGCGGCGCGCCAAGTTAGCAACCGAGCGGTCTCCACGCGCAGCGCCATGTCCGCCAGCTTCTGCTGAATCATTTGCAATCGGGACAGCCGCTGCCCAAAGGCCACACGCTTATCCGCATAGTCGACGGCCAGCTCCAGTGCCGCCTGTGCTATGCCCGTGGACTGTGCGGCAATGCCTATGCGACCGCAGTCGAGGGATTCCATGGCGATCCTAAAGCCTCCGCCGGGCGTTCCGAGCACTTGGGACTTCGGCACGCACATATCGTCCAGCGTCAGCTGGCACGTGGAGCTGGCACGCATGCCCAGCTTGCTCTCCTTCTTGGCTATGGACAGACCGGGCACAAGCTTCTCCGTCAGAAAAGCTGTAATCCCCTTGTGCTTCAGGGATTTGTCAATGGTGGCAAAGATGAGTCCGCCGCTGGCCTCCTTCGAGTTGGATATCCAGGCCTTGGTGCCGTTGAGCAGGTAATCCCCGCTGGCATTAAGTTTGGCTGTGGTGCTGGCGGCGCTGGCATCTGAACCGCTGCCCGGCTCCGAGAGCGCATAGAAGGCTATGTGCTGGCCCTGAGTGTAGGGCACCAGAAACTGTTGCTTCTGCGCCTCCGTGCCATGCTGCTGCACTGTTCCCAGATACAGATTGTTCACGCCCATAACAATGGACACGGCGGCATCGCCGCGCGCCACCTCCTCCATGCCTATGGCATAGGCCAGATAATCCAGCCCGGCGCCACCTGCAAGTAGTCGTCGTTCAGGCTCTGCACAATCTCTGGGCGCCGTGCTCACCGTATTCCTCCCGCACAGCGACAGACATTAGCCCCAGCTCGCCCAGCCGTCGCACCTGCTCCGCCGGATGCAGCTGCTCGCGATCGTGGCGTCTCGCGTGCGGCGCTAGCTCCGCATTGGCAAAATCGCGGCAGGTCTTTTGCAGAATTTGATGCGTTTCCGAGAGCGCCGCCAGGCAGGCGATGCCTCTGCCACCGAAGCCGTTGCCAGTGCGTTGACCTTCAAAGCCGGAAAGCTTCAACTAATATTTTTGTTATTGTTATTATTTTTTCTATTACCAAGCGCCAATGCGCTTCTACAGAGCTTTAGCATGGTGCCAGAGCTTCAGCTGCGTTGCGTGTGGAATGCGAAAAACCTTTTGGAGCCGTCTGCTTCGATCAACGATTCGCCACGCACTGAAAGCCGTCGAGCAATCGTAAACAATCAGCGAGCTATAAAAGCTTTTATATGCATTGCAAAAAGCTCTGACTTAAGTTGAAGCTGGCGCGTGCAGCCAGAGGTGGCGTTGTAGGTGTGTGCCAGGGGGTCTGAAGCAGGCAGCAAGCTGTTTGTTGCAAGTGTGTGAGGATCTGCACTTCTGCAAGCAGTTTACAAGCAGGTTTTCTTATTGAGCAGATCTTTTGCAACTTGGGGGTGTCATTCTAATTAGAATTCCCTGCGGTAGTGCGAGCGTTCTGTCATTCTAATGAGCGGCAGTTGCTTGAATATCTTGTTAGATTTGTGAAAAGCAGTGTGAAGCAGTTGTCCTTATTGGAATTAAGTGGGAGAATATGATCTTGATTTATGAATAAAATATTGGCAAGCAGATTGTTTTAAACGTTCTTGTTTTATTGGAAAGCAGTAGAAAAACAAATTTCTTATTAGAATTAGGTACAGTAGCAACGAATCTTTTGACTCTGTTTAGGCTTATATGCAATTGAAAAGTTTTTCTAATAGAAAAACCCATTTTTGCTTGCAAACACAAAAGCTAACGCTTACGGGTTGGGAGCTTGCTGAATATAATGCCAAATTAGACCGTAGAAAAGCCTGTTAACAGATGGCAGCCCTTTTTAAGGCGCCCCTGTCCTGCTTGATATACACTGCGCTTACTTCAAGTAGATTCAAGTTTGCATATTTGATTACTTCTTTGTGTTGAGCTTTTAATGCCGTTTGCGGCATGTAACTTAATGGGGTATATGCCACTCACTAGCCATACAGACTCAGCTCTTGTTGAAATGCAACTTAGGCCGAGGGTATCTGCGTAGTCGTGCACAGAATAACGTGTAAAAGTGCTGTGCTGGGTAGAAAGTTCAGCTGCCCGAAATGGAAAGCGGTTCAACGCTTTACGGAAATTGTTCGCACCTGACAACAAACTTTGCAATGCAAATTAAAACGCGATTAAATGACATACGATATGCGAAACCCAACACACCCACTTTTGCAAAGGAAATGTATATAGATGTGGCAATTTCATAAAATATTTTCATTGATAATTAAAAGAAACAAAACCGATTTTCAGATCACAAATCACTTTTTATGGGAATATCCTAGCCATATTTATCCATATTTAAGCCCACTAAATTTCTCTAAGATCGGACTATAAATACCGAAATTTATCAAGAATTGCCATGCAACCAAAGCACTCTTGTTAAATAGATGAATGGAACCCAGTAGGACTTCCTTTCTAACTCAATTGCTTGTAAATTTGTATATATATATATTTAATTTAAAGGCAATCTGTAGATTTGAACACAGCTGCTGCAACAAATAGGTTCAAAATTTTTTTAACTGGTTTCTTTTTAAACGTTTCCAAAGTAAAACTTTACCAAAATACCAACATGAATTATCTCATACAGCGTGGCAAGGTGCGCCAGCAGGCCATCAACGTGCCCGAGGGTCTGCCGGAGCTGCTCTCCGACATAACACGCGAGGTGCTGCGCTGCCAGCCGACCAAGGAGTGCCTCTGCCAGTTCATCATTGACTATTTGCACTCGGTGATTGTCACGCGCGAGAAGGCCCTGGGTGAGCTATATCCTACGTATATAATGTATACATCACAGATCAGATGGTATGTCCCGATCTTCGCCTCATTTTCCGCTCGTGGAAAATTTAAATGTACACGTATTTTACGTAAAAATTTCAAGTTGAGTTTGAATTAAGCGCCACATTGTTTGAATTTGAAGCCGGACCTTCAAGGTCCTTGGATATGAGTTTGAACTGCTAACTTCACTTACCACATCTCTGACCCCTGTTTCCGCTAAGGAAGAGGTGGATTTTCCAAAACCATATAGTAACTGCAAAAATATTAACTCTTCCGGTTTGCGCTGTGATCACCAATCAACCTGTCAATTAGTCCGTCCGTCAGTCAATCAGGAACAAAATTTTCTTACAAAGTTTTTTCGCAGTGGCCAAAAGCATATTGGATCGCGCTCTGCGCCAGGTGGACAGCATTATATCCGATTTATGCGTGTGCGATTTGTCCAAGGAGAAATCGGATGAGATGGCCCAAGTGATGGAGGATTGTTTCCGCAATTTCCTGGAGAAGCGTCGCTGTGAGATGCGTCGCGGCAAGGAGACGATCAAATTTGCAGACATTGACATGCTCGAGGAGCTGATCAGAAAATGCCATTTCTCCGAGCAAGAGCTGGACGCCTCAAAACCAGCCATAGAGACCGCCTACAAGCGATTCGTGGATGCCTACATGGCCGCGGGCAAAGACTCCCAGGGTACCGAGTTACTCTATCAATACTTCCGCGATCGCGAACTGAAACGCATCGAGGAGCTGATGCGCGACCAGGCGGCCATCACCATACAGGCCGCCTTCCGGGGCTACCTGGTGCGCCGCATGATGGCGCAGCATGTCTGCGTATGCACCTGCATGCTCGACGAGAAGGATGACGATGAGTACATGCGCATGGACAGGGCTGCTCGCATTTTGCAGCGCTTCTTCCGTTCGGTTCTATCGGTGGGTTGTCGCTTTAATACTATTTTAATGGATATCAGCTAATACCTTCGACTCTGCCCTACAGCGCCAGACCATAAAGGCGGTAAGTCTTGTAGATGAAATACTCTGCCTTGCTTTTGACCTCCAAACTATCCAATTAGATTGAGGATCCTTGCAAGGAAAAGGAAACTCCTTCCTCCAAGGATGAAGGCTTACCGATCGCTACTGAAGCCACAGCTGCTGAGACAGCTCCCGCCACAGCCGCTGGCACAGCCGCTGGCACAGCCGCTGGCACAGCTGCTCCTACAGCAGCTCCTACAGCAGCTCCTACAGCAGCTCCTACAGCAGCTCCTACAGCAGCTCCTTCCGAAGCTAAATTGCAGCTTGCTGCAGAAGAGGCTCCCGCTGAGGAGGCTCCACCTGGGACGGCTGCAGAGGAAGCGCCCGCTCCAGCTGCCCCGGAGCCTGAGCCTGAACCAGAACCGGAAGCGCCCAAGGCCGAAGAACCTGCCGCGGAACCAGCTGCAGCTGAGGCAGCACCACCAGCTGAGGAAGCGGCCGCATCACCGCCAGCTGAAGAGGCGCCACCACCAGCACCAGCTGAAGAACCAGCTGCAGAGGAAGCACCACCAGCCGAGGAAGCAGCTGAATAGTCTTTGAGTACAGCTCAGCTTCTTTTTTTGTTTTGTTTGCATGTTTTTTTATTTATTAACCCCATGATTCTTAATGCTTCCCTTGGCCTTTAAGGATTTCTGATCTTTAACTTGTAAATTAGTTCAATGTGTAATTGTATGTATTTAAAATGTCTTGAGGATAGCCGTCAGAAACAGCCAGAACATTTAATGGAGAAATAGACGAACTGATCTGGTTTTATCTAATATATTGTATATAGTTCATTCTTACTAAAACAACCTATTATCGGGGAAAAACGAAAAAAGCGTCGGACCAAAAAGCGAGAGAGCCCTGGTTCAAATGCAGCAATTGACAATATGTTATTTTTGTTTATTAAATTGGATTGGACGTGGCCCGGTCGATGCCCGGTATTTTCTTCTAGTCGATATCGTGTAACTCAAGAGGTCTACTTTATGCGCTGCTGCAGCCAGTTGCTAAAGGTGGATACTCTTGTGTAGACATCGGGAGATATGAAGAGACCGCACACGACCAATCCATAGGATACCACTCCAACCTGCTTCAAGCCATTGTCGTTCCGGACCAGTGGACCACCGGAGTCACCCTGTGTGTGAGAGTTTCTTCTTAGTATGCCTTCAATCGCCTTAAACCTGTGCACTTGCTTACCGAACAGGCGCCCCTGAAGACACCTCTGGCACAAATCTCCGTATCTGAAACATCTTCCATGCCCCTCTCCCGACACTCCTGATTCGTAATCGTTCTGTAGCTCATGCGCTGCAGCGTTTTTGGATAGTTGACGTTCTCTAGAAATGGAAAGGCCACCGGCAAACGCAAGCCCCAACCTGTGAGGGTAACTGGCACGCCGCCGACCACAAACTCTTCCGAGGCAAACTCAATGGGCGCCACGCTGACGTTGTTATAGACCAGCGGCGGTTCAATGCTGAGCACTGCAATGTCGCTGGTCACCAGCTCCCTGTAGTCGGGATGTATGTCATAGGAGAGCACACGAGAGCGTGATCCGCCCTGATCATCCAGATTGCGTATGCCGGCGACAACGGACATGCGCGTCGCATTGAGTCCCTTGCAACAGTGGGCGGCCGTGAGTATGCGGTTCGGGGCTATAATCGAGCCGCCACAGAAGTGCACATGTCCGTCGCGAACTCTGTACTGCAGCGAGACCTGGTAGGGCACGTAGTCGCCGTGTGGCACATCCGAGCCGCCCACAACGCGTGTGGGCGTAAAGCCGCTGGACTGGCGTGCTGCTGGCGAGTGTTGTAAAGTGTTGAACTATATCTTCCACTTCTCATAACCTCAACTTACAATTGGAACGCGCCGTGGCGCCACCTAGCGTCAGAGCTGTCATCAAAACTAGTTCTACTAGAGACATGCTTGGTCTGGTTTCTGTTGAAGTTGCGGTCTATGCCACAGCCTATTTATAGGACTGGAGCCGACCTCCATTTGGTTGCATTTGCATAGATAACGCAGCGGTTATGCCATTTATTTTGATCTTGAAATTCAAAATTTAATGAGCTTTCATGGCGGTAATTGGCATATGCTTCAAACGTCACCCTAACCCAGAAAACAAATTTTCACAGATAGCTTTCTGTGGGCTAGCTAAGGCGCGGCTCATTTGGCAAATTGTATATGGAGTTTCTAGGGTGGCAGACAATTAACTAGAAAGACTCAAAGATCTGCCGGCTTAAGCCAATGTTTCGTCCGAAGTTTCCTCTCGTAGTTTGAGCCTTTCCTTGTCAAAATTGTACATTTTGCCGTTATTTCGGTTCACGGTTCGAACCAACAGCCTGTCCTTAGGTTTGGTTTGTGAAACAGGCTTTTGTTTTTTTATAAGCAAAGATTTTGGTTGGAACCTGTGTCAACATTTCTTTATTTTCAACAAAGACGCCTGTTCTAACTAATGTTGTCGCAGGTTCCTTTTCACGGTTCGAACCAACCAACCTGCGCTTAGGTTCGGTGCGTTAAATCTGCTTTTCACATCCTTAAATCCAGTTTGAGTTTCGAACCTTGCATTCCCAGACATTTTCAACATTTTAACAAGGAAATTTATTTATTATTTTTTTGTTAAACCATCTTTAAAAACAAAATGGCGTTTCGTATTCAAATCAGCAATAATATCAACTATGCAATTGTTTGTATATTTTATTTTCCAGTTTTAATTTTCTTTGTTTCCATAACATATTAAACATAACTTTTTCCGCTTCTCTTCTGTATAGTAGTGTTTTTCTCATAACTTGATTTTTGTTTATTTATTCTCACATTCTACTCTTTCGCTCAGTGTAGTCAAGCAGAGCAATAAATTCCCGAAATAGTTTTATTTTATCTTTTCATCAATTTTGACTTAATACGTTTCACATTGTCTTTGGATTTTAGGTGAGTTTTACGCATCTCGCATTAGCATTCGATTATCTAAGTAGGTCAGTTCTCAACTTGGCTCCCGAATGCTGGTCTACAAGACTGAGTTGTCATTATATCAGTCTGCAGTTCATAAAATCAGCTCGCTCATTCAGAGAATAACAAAAGCGTCTAGCCAATCCCAACTCATAATCGATATTATGCATAAGCAATAAGATGCCATTCAAGTTGGCTACAATTCTTTGGCACCGATTATAGCTTAGATCTCGAACTGGGATATTTTAGCATATTTAGACGCAGTCTTCTTTTTGCACATCAGAGCAAATAGATTTATCATTAAATAATATTATATTATTTATTTTACTTTATTCTCGAGTGTATTGTCCTCTACGGATTGCGTCATGCTGTTCAGGAATTTAATTATTTGCTAATATATGCACATATGCGTCTAAGCATTTCTAGGCATTGCATAAAGAGAAGAAAAACTATCTTTGCCATGCCGAAGATCAAGAGTATATACATACTTGATGCGTATATATCTACTTCCAGCCTTATACACAAATAGTTTGACTAAATAAAAATACCCTTTACAAAGGCAAAGAAACAACTTTAAGCTTTTAACGGTTTCATGAAACTTGGAATCTAGCAAGAACTCTGTTTGCAAGATTTGAGATTGAAATTTCGCAATAAAAAGAAGCATAAAGAAATTTTGTTGGTTTTAAAATGGAGAGTTTTCGTATAAAAGGAATCAGTTAATTGATCGTCAAAGCATTTGCGATTTGGACATGTAGCCGCGCATAACGCTCTTTTGCCTAGGTAAGAATACTCTTCAGATAAACAATTTTAAATTAAAACAGATTCCTCACCCAGGTCTGGTCCACTTGGGCGCGGCATCAGTTCTGCCGAAACGTACAAAAACAAAGAAGCGGCCGGCAGAACAATTGCTATTCATGTGCCGGAGCACAGTTCATCGAGTGGACGCTACAAAGGAGAACCAAAATACTTTTCGCCGCCGGTTTATCTCTATCCCCCGCCTGGAATTGGTTGTAATTGCCCGCCGGGTTCACCGAGGCCGCCCAGTCGTCCAGGTAGACCGGGAGACCGGGTAAACCAGGAAATCCGGGCAGTCCTGGCCCAGTTGGACCCAAGGGTGATGCCGGTACCCCAGGTGCGCCTAGCGAGAAGGGAGATATGGGCGATATAGGCCCACCAGGACCCACGGGTCCACCAGGCATAAGTTAACTGCGCCTGGATGTAGATGCGTGCTTGGTGACTCTGTCCCTAGACGAAGGCTTCGATTCGCTTGAGGTCGAAAACACGTACTTTGTTGTAAAAGGCATACGAATTGGAAAAGAATCAAAAGACGAATTATTGGATGGTAAAAAAGATACGATAAGATTAGCCTGCAGAGCTCTGTGATATGCAAGATACAAATTTTGAACTGCTTCCTGCTTGACTTTTGCACTGCTTGACCGAAGTAAACAAAACTAGCTTGAAACCTGCTAAAAAGAATTTATTCGATTTTATTTGTTTTTATTACGTTAATTTTATTATTATTATTCCTATTATTATTATTATTAATATTATTATTATTATTATTATTTGAATACTCTAAAAAACTTGCTAATGCATAAAAAGGGAAACAAAGGGAAGCTGTTCCGACCCTATAAAGTTTTCATTCCTGATCAAGTCCGCCCTTCAACGATCTATCTCAGACACTGTTAGAACTAAAACTTCTCAATTTCAAGCCTCTAGCTCAAGTTTAAATCAATTTACCGAAATCTCATTCACCAAATCGATAAGTATCGATTTCCAGATTGGGTTATTTGAACACATTTCGGGGCTTTCAAATAGCATACACGTACACAGAATTTAACACTTTTTGAATACCTCTTGGCTTTCCCCCGAGAATTCCCTTTAGGATGCCCCTAGAATTCCCGACCACCATCCGAGCACTCTACTTGTTATGGTTGTTATAATTTTTTGGGAACACTTGAAAAGGCAATACATATGTACTAAACACAGACTTGTTAACTCTCTCAAGATTTGTATAACTAAGAATCAAAAGGGAAAAAAGCTTACAGCATTACCTGATATACGACAAGTAAACAAACATGAGTCATCTATTATTTACTAGAGATTCATTGATAAAGTTTAAGTTTGTACACAATTGTTATTCATATTTGTTTGAATCACTTATTTTTAAATTATAATTTTATTGAGGCTTTTAAAAGCTAGCTCACTCTCTGCTTTCATTGAGATCTGCCCTTTATCTAGGTTATTAGGCACGCGACATCACGTTGTTGTTGGACGAATCTTCAGTCCATTAAATTCAATCTTTATGATCAATTTGTGAAGTCAACAAAAAAGCTAACAAAGAACTAAGAATGGGAATGTGTAAGCTATTATGCAAAGTCCATAAATATATATATTCAAATCAGCAAAAGTTATTACACATTCCCATTCTTTGGCACACTAATGACGTTCAAGAGGTGTGTCTTTAACATATTAGTAAAATATATAAATATATAAATATTATTTTGATGAACTAATGCCAAAAATCCCCATTTTCATATCAAAACATTTGGTTCTAATTTCTTTCAGAGGACTTTCAAACCAGTTTCAAGTTAAATCCAGAGCATATTTAAGCATATAAATTGTGCGACGATGAGGCGACAATATGTGGAGGGTGCTATTAAAAGAACAGTAAGATAGTAAAAGATGACTATTAAAATAAGATATCTTGACGTATATTATGCTTAACGGTTCCTTCAAATCTGGATTTCGGAAAGTGACCATTTCTTTGCTATAAAAGAACGCAATTACTCGCTGATCCCAGCAAATAAGTTTGGACCATGGCACAGCTCGCGACGCTATTCTGCCTGAGTAAGTGGCCTTTATCTTTAATATAAAATTTCCATCCTGCAATCTTCACTATTTCACAGCTCTGGCCTTCTCTGGCGGCATCAGCTTGTCCACTAGAAATCAGAACACCAAAAATGCCGGCAGGCATCTTTCAGTTCAGCTTCCGGCACCTACACCCGCTTCTGCGCCATCTCCGCCGAATGTGATCATCAAACGGCCCGTTCACTATCATCCGCCACCGCCACCACCGCTGCCACATTTCTACCCGCCACCACCGCCGTATCATCATCAGCATCCCTCGACGAAGTGTAATTGTCCGCCCGGGCCACCTGGACCCCCAGGTCCTCCAGGACTCTCAGGTATGTTCCTTACAAAGACAGTCTTTAGCCTAAAATCTAGCAATGCAATTGTATAGGTGATACAGGGAAACCAGGACATCCAGGCTCGAAAGGTGACAAAGGTGATGAGGGCGAGAAGGGTGAGAGGGGAGCCAAAGGAGAGAAGGGTGACAAGGGCCACAACGGTGCGCAAGGAGCTCAGGGACCACAAGGAGCGCAAGGACCTCAGGGCCTTCCTGGAGCTCCAGGTCCACAAGGTTCTCAGGGACCGCCAGGCTCCCAAGGATTCCAGGGAACACAAGGCTCACCTGGATCTCCAGGTTCGCCAGGTTCCCAGGGACCTTTGGGACCACCAGGCTCGTCGGGATCTCCAGGTTCACCAGGAGCTCCAGGCTCTCAAGGACCACCGGGACCGCCAGGACCTCCAGGACCACCGTCGCCCGCATGGCCTATACCACCACCTCCACATAATCACCAACCGCCGCCAATCATTTACCCTTACCCCTTACCACCCTACAACGGACATCAATCTCATAAGGGAGACCATCATCATCACCACGAGCATGAGCCGCACAATCATCATCATAAAGGAGAGCATCATCCGCATGATCCGCACAATCATCATCATAAAGGAGAGCATCATCCGCATGATCCGCATGATCCGCATGACCCGCATGACTCTCATAATCCACATGATCCCCATGGGCCTCACAAGCACCACAAGGCTCAAAAAAAAACGATGACAACTGATTCCGAAGTAAGAAAATTCCATAAGCTGGAATCTGCTCAACCTGCGCCTCAAGAAATTTCAACAGATTCTTCTGAAACTGATTTGGAAAACGCTCAGCCAAATGAGGAGAAGGATCTAAAGAGCGAAGAAGTCGAAGATGAAGATGTGGAGGCGCCTGAAGAGGATGCGGCGCATGAGCAGACAGAAATGAAACCAGATGGAGCCGAAGAGGCTCCGGAGAGCGATGAAAAGTTTGAAGATCAAGAAGATGAGTACGAAACGAATAGCGAAGAAAACAACGACATAGAGAACTCTGATCAGCCAATCGAAGGCTATTTAGTTCAGGAAAGAAGTGGAAATAGGCCTTTGATATTATCAATAAGCAAACGTCGCAATCCATTTCATATATATAGAGATAACGTAGATATTTAAACAAAAACTAATAAATGTGAATTTGAAGACTGTATTTGTGCGCTGAGACATTGATTTTTATGTATTTTAAATCATTTTTTTTAATTTCATGCAGCCAATATTTATACACAATTCGCACTGCTTGACGGCAATTTTGCATCAGCTTAAAAGTATGCACAAAAAATGGCGCACAGGTGAAAAGGACTGCTTGCGTTCTTTGTAAACTGCTTGAATTTAGCAACCGCTATAATTTAATGAATTTGAATTTATTTTGTCAGCTTTCTTATAGGATTAAGGGTATGTGTCATGTGGGCTATGCCTATTCCGCCTAGGCCATGCGCTCTTTAATCCAATTATCAAACATGGAGACGCGAGTGTAAACATCGGGACTATTGGAGGCGCAGAAGGCAGTGCCATATGAGACGACGCCCACCTGCTTCAGCGATTCGCCGTTGGCCATGACCAAAGGACCGCCCGAATCGCCCTGCACAGGAAGAATAAGTTGAGGGGTGATTCAGTCAGATTTAAAACTGTTCAGCCCTTGGCTACTCACATTGCAGGCGCCCTTGCCAAACCGTTCCAGCGCGCATATCTCCGTATCCGTCAGCTGAGTCATCGTATGCTTACACTTGGCATTGTCGAGCGTCTTGTAGGAGAGTTTCTGCAGTATTGTGGGGTATTTGGCAAAGGGTCCGGTGCCAAAGTGAAACACAGAGCCCCAACCGGTTAGCAGCACTTCCTGATCAGCTCCAACCAGCTCATTGCTGCTCACATCGATGGTGCCCACGCGTTTGCCATCCAACTCGAAGGGTGGATCGATCTTCAGAATAGCTATATCGCTGGTCACCAGCTCCTCGTAGTGCTCGTTCATCTCGTACGACTGCACCTGGGCGCGATAGCCGCTGTTGTCATTCAGATCACGTATGCCCGCAACCACGCTGATCCGGCTCGCATTCTGCCCATTGACGCAGTGCGCCGCGGTGAGCACCCGGTTGGGCGCTATTAGGGAGCCACCGCAAAAGTGCCGCATTTTGCCGCTGCGCGTTAAAAACTGCATGGACACCTGGTAGGGCACATACTCATCGTCGGGCACATCATAGCCGCCCACCACGCGCTCCTGCGAGCTGCTATCCGCACTCTCGAAATAGGCATCCACTGTGTGTGCGTGTAGAGTTGTGGACTTGGTAAAACTGCTCTTATGATATTATTTCGTGCACTTACAATCTATTACGTTGCCCATGGGCTTGCCAGCCGTGAGCTGCAGCAGACCGAGCAGCAGTAAGACAAAATTCCATCGAGCTTCCATGTTGTTCTTGTGCTTTTGGATTAGAACCCTCTACTGTTTGGCTTCGACTAAGCATTGGGGGTTTTTATACATTGCATTTGGGCTCATTAGAATTTTATCGGGGCGATAGCTGTGGGTGGTCTGACCGCATATAATAGTTAACAAGGTCGTTCCATAAAGCGAGATAAGCTTGTGAAGCTAGCCAAGCTAAGGGTTTGATAACTAGCAGCTCATAAAATGTGGCACAGTTTGTTTGTTCTTGGTAAAACCAGCTGCGATGAGTAGTTCTTGCCTCAATTTGTGCGTCTTAAGCTAGGCTTTAAATCCAACCAGTTGAAATTAAGAATTTCGTTTGGTTCAAAATAAAAATGTTGACTACCGCATTTAATCAGAATTTTGTGCCAGGGCGAGAACAAAGCCTAATGAGTTAACATGCGGATTAACCTGTCAGGGCGAGTCGGTGAGCTCACATGCAAATTAAAACCGGCAGCTAAATATAAAATTCACCAAGATTCAAATCCTGTCACGTTGTGCGGCTTTGCAGGGTGGTCCAATTAACAAAAGCCAAAGGCAGACGCAGCTGGAGTGGGGCGCCAATGGCACATCCTGGCCAAAAAAAAATAAAATAATAATAAAGCCATTTGAGGTTCAAATCGGTTCAGGTAGTCAGCGCCAAAAAGCCAGAGCCAACAATTAACACAGTAGTCCAAAGATCAAGACCTCAACATGCGACTCCAGGAGAAGCTAAGACCAGCCACAAAACGTGGAGGTGTGCATAATTAATTTGCGTCGCTGCCACACACACACACACTCACACACTCTGGCGAGGCACAGCAAAATGATTCATTAGCCGGCCTCCAATCAGGCCGGAACTGACACATGGCAGGGTTTCGGAGATAGCCCAGGTCTCTGGGCCCGCCCAGGTTCGCAAGTTGATTTGCATCGAACATGTGCGCCCCGGCCACAGATACAGTCCGAAATGCAGCCAGAAAGGTGTTGATTGCTCAACTGGCTTCAGTGCTCCAATTGCCTGTGCCGAGCACCCGCCCTTTCCTCCATCCCCTCACAGCGCCACCCATGCTCCGCTGTCTACAATGAATTAAAAGAAATGTCCGCAGCCAGCAGCAGCAGCAGCAGCTTGTTTAATCGGAATATTTAAATTATTCATTGATTAAAACTGCAACCAGATCAAGCTGCAGCCACTCAACCTGCCTCCGACTGACACCCCCCACTCCACCCTCCCCGCTGTTTCTTCCTCTCTGCTGCTTGTGGCACTTGTGTCTGCGTCTTGTCGTTTCAATTTGGTTGTAGGTGTTGCTGCAGCCAGGCTGTAGGTGCCATTCCCAGGAATTGAGGAAACAGCTTCTCCCTCAGCCTCCGTCCCCCATCACATGTCTGTTAAGCGCTGGCTCTCTGTCTGCACGCGAAATGCCACCCAAAATGAGACACACAAGAAGCTGCCCACAACAAAGCGAAAGGGAATTGAATTCCTTGTCATGATTAATGCATTTGCCAAGCAACTCCATGAAAGGGTACACAATCAGTGATGCAATTGAGTTTTCTAAGCAGCCATTTCAAAGCAAATGCCACATAATCAACAATTGTAAAAGAATAAAGCTTTTTTAAGATTCATGCTAAGCCATGGCCAAGGCCTTAAAAGTGCTTTTAAGCCTGGAGGCTTCAAGTTTTCTATGTCTAAATTTTTTTGTAGGCAATGGCCAGCTTGGGCTATCTAGTTTTAGGTACTGAGCCTAGCTGCCTGCCTAAACACAAAAATCTTATAAAAAATACCAACAAATACCCACAAATATTTGGTAAGTAACATGAAAGCAGAGTTTTTCTAAGAAATGCAGAGAATTAAGGGAAGCTTTTAAGATTTAGCTAAAAAAGTTCTGAGCTAGTTCCAGATATCTTAAAAAAAACCTAATGATTTATTATACAAAGATACAGTATGGTATTAGACGTAATAGAATTTGATGTGATAGGATTTGATATAATATAATAATGTATATAATATTATGTGAAAAGTTGGAATGGCAAAATGATATTATAGGATATGAGATTAAAATGAGCATAATAACGTACAGCTCGTATTTTTCAACTTTGCTTGAGAAAGCTTGAAAAGCGAAAGGTTTTTCATATAAAAACTCATGTTGCGATCAAGTGTTCCTCGAGAAGCTATGTGACATGGGGGATAATATGATATTGTGATATGATATTATTTGAGTTTAAAAGATTCCCATATAACTGGAAATTTTCAAGTATTTATAATACAAAAATATTGTTCTATTGGAAGTCATATAATATTATGGATTTGATATGATATTTAAGAAAGTATAGCTCGTCATTTTAAAGTGTGCTTGAGATATCTTGGAAAAAAAAGTCAAGTTGCGAAAAATTATTCCTTTAAAACCTATATGATAATGGGAATAAGATATGATATTAGAATATATTATATGATATTAAAAAGAGCATAGATAGCTCGAAATTTTATGAAATTTATATGATATGAGAGTATAATTTTCAAGCATGGTTGAGATATGTTGGTGTTCCGATTTGACAATGTAATGACAAATATATTTTAACCGACTCGTCTATTAATGCTGACCAAGAACACAAATATATATCAGGTCTATGCCTTGGCTCAGGGCAGACAAGTAAAAAGTTCCAGCGATATATTTCACCAATATTGAATTCTCTCTCACATTTCATTTCAATCTCAAGTTCCTGACTTGGTCACAGTGGGACAACTGTTGCCGCCTGCTGTTTGGCTGTGCGTGCCCGACAATCATAAGAGATATCTTGCAGATGAGTCCGCTGCAATCATATTCTCTCACCGGGTTGACAGAAGCGCCTACCTGTTGTCATCAATTAGGTAACAAGCACACGCGACCGATAAATATTACGAGGAGCGAGGCTATCCAGGGTATCCAGTAACCCGGTGGAGTCTCCTTGCTGCATATCTACAAATGGTTCAAGCTGCTTGCTGTGATCTCAGATCTCTTATCTGATTTGTAAATAAAAATGTATTTCATTTGGACCCATCGAAGGAGCTCTTAGAGAAAGAGGCTGAGGGATCTGACGGAGGGGGGACGAGCACTCGACTGCAGTCATAATTTATAGTGTGTGCATATGGCAGGCTCCTTGGACGGGGGCTGCCTGGGCTGGCGCACCTCGTGCTGCTGGCAAATTAAGTACTAAAATAAACGACCAATTTACTGATTATGCAAAACATGCAATTAATTTTTTTCCATTCCGCCAACATTTATTCCAAATCTTCCATGCTCGGTTTTAACTAAAACTTGTTGTTATTTTTTTTTTCTGTCCCGCGAAATTATCGTAACGAGTGCGAAAATTAATTGCCGCAACAACAAGTGGAAAATTTATTTGAAAACGCGCTGACTTACATTCATGTAGAAAATGCCAGTCTAGGGCTAATTTATTATCCATAACTTTAGCTCGACTAATTTGCATATTAGGCTAACTAATTGAATTAGAAATCGAAATTATTTTTATTTGTAATGGAGGGGGAAGGGGAGCTGTGACTGTGAGACGGTGAGCAAGAAATGTTCATTCTTCCTGATGAAGGAGAGAAGCACTCTTGTTGAAGAAGCGTCGATCTGAGAGACTCTCTCATCATTCAGATGGTTTCTTCTTTCCCTTTATATCATACGTGTTATATACACACATTTGCTTAGGCCGTTTGTGGCTCTGGGTATCTCCTAGGCTGGCACTCCCGATTAGTGTAGTCATTTATGACAAGTACATGTTACTTGCAATTCCATTCATTTAAATATTGTCATCAAATAAGACATTCGGTAGTTATATGTTTTTCGCTTTTAAACATTATCTTGAATCCTCCAAGTGAAAGACCAATTCAGAGCAGAGCACACGTGCAGGCAGCAATTAAATTCCCAGCTCCAGGCTGGCTACTGTATTTCGAGGGTCCAGCTTGAGAGCCGCCTGGTCGGGTCATAAAATGAGCGGCTTTGCTTTAAGAACCGGGCATATAAATCAGATTGAGAAACAGCAACAGGCAATAAAAGTTGCAGTCTGAATATTTTGTGAGGCCCTCTTCTGGTGCCCGGCCACACGCACAATTCCCTAGAACTTGGCCGGCGAACAAGGCCGAGAATGAGGCGGGCAATCAACCAAAATGTCATAATAATGATGGCGTTCCGGGCGGCTCTGCCGGGCCAGCGACAGCGACAGCAACTGCGACGGCGACAGGATGCTTATCTTGTTAACACCGTGCCCGTAACCCGACTGGTCCAATAAAAACTCCAAATCGGGTAACATACTGACAACGGATCTGCAGAAATGCTTATGAAATGCTGTTCTTATACGCTTGCAGAGGGTATTATAATTCTGTCATGAAATGTGCAAGGCATAAAAGGAAGCAGACTCCATAAAACATATATATTCCAGATTCCGTATCAAAGGCCGAGTCTATATAGCCAAGCCCATCTGCTTCTATGCAAACTAGTCTCCCAGATTTCGTCCTGAAACTTTGCCCACGTTCTACATTTTCTTGCATTTTCCGTCTAAATGTCGGAACCATTCTGATCGAATAACTATATCACATAGCTGCCGATTGAAAATTTAGTTCTAATATGAAGATCAGTTTTCTTTATCAATATATCTTCCCCAAACTCGGTATTTAATAGTTTTCCTTAACATAAGCAAAGTCCTTTCAATATCGAACTACTTTCTCTTATAGTTTCATAAAAAGAATTTGTCAAAAAATGTATTTTTGCATGGAACTCAACCAAACTCAGCAATCACGAGCTTTACAGTTCTTAAAGGGTATTTAATCTTCGGCCTGTTAGTCGTTATATGTTTCTTTTATTAGCAAGCATTTTGTTCGAGCAATTTGCTGGGAATATGCAACTGAATTGACAGAAATGTACGAAGAACTCAGTTGGAACTGAAATTGAAGTAAGAATTTCGAAAATATGTTTCTCCGTTTCTGGGAGTGTCCCACAAGCAAATGCCAAAACGACTCGAAAAACTCGAAAACC